CCTAAAAAATAGCTTCTTTCCACTCAGGAACATTAAGAGCCTCCTGGATACTGTTCGGAATGGATACACTAGACACTTGTGAAATAAAGGCACAATATGAAGGTGAAATATTTTTGTAAGATACAAAATTTGATAGAGGATGTTTTGTACAAGACCTAACACCTTTCCTAAGAGCAATGGGAAGATCAAGCTTACTAGAAGAATTTGAATCAGAATTACCTGGAGGAATATTTTCAGGAACTTTTGAAGAATTATCATGAATTTCATGATCCAACCTTTGATCAGATTCTTGTTGATGTTGTAGAATGGTGCCTCTCCTTTTTTGTGCTAGATATTCCTTTGAATATACAAGACCTTTATACCGTTTCGCATGCATCTGTACAGCTTTTTCATTTTGAGATGGCATTACCAAAGGTTGTTCATTGGTAGACTCAACATTTTCAATATTTAATTCATTTGTTTCCACTAATATTGTATTTGCTGCCTCACTTTCTTTCGGTGACCAGTTGTGAGGAACATCGTTATGGACAAATTCAAACATTAAATCAGAACCATCTAAAAAACTATCTTCACTAGTGTTGCTCTCCCCCTGAAGATGGGAGTTGCTGTAGTATGAGGTTCCTTCAAAGAAGGTGACATCCATAGACACAAACATCTTTTTCAAAACTGGATCAAAGCATTTGTAACCTCTCTGATTAGTGGGATAGCCTACAAAAAAACATTTATGTGCTTTTGGATCAAGTTTTGAACGTTTDGGATCATGGTTATGAACAAAGGCCACACTTCCAAAAATTGTTAAGGGAATGTTTGTCACTAGCCGAGAGTTTGGAAAACAGTCAGTGAAAACTTGTATGGGTGTTTTAAAATCCAAAATTCGTGTAGGCAGTCTTTTAATCAAATAAGTGGCTGTTAAAACGGCTTCCCCCCAAAGATACTTAGGAACCTTAGTTTTAAAACTTAGAGCTCTAACAACTTCAAGGAGATGTTTGTTTTTCCTTTCCGCCACCCCGTTTTGTTGAGGTGTATTATTACATGAACTTTGATGTACAATTCCTTTCTCACCAAAAAAATTCCCTAACACATTGTTAAAAAATTCCTTTCCATTATCACTTCAAAAAATTTTAATTTGAGTCTGAACTTGTGTTTGAACCATGTTGTAGAAATTTTTGAACACAGTTTCAACATCAGATTTCTCTTTTAAAAGGAAAACCCAAGTGACCCTAGTATGATCATCAATAAAAGTAAT